GGTTAAAATGGGTAACTGCCAGGTTTCTCCAATGTAAAGGTATATCTTCCCTCTATAATTACTCCATGTGGTGATACTTTATCACCATGAATATGCTATTCCCTAATTGCCTTTTACTCAAGGGTTTTCACATCTATTGATGATCCCTACCTAAACCAATTGCTATATTAGGGATTGCAAAATGGTAATTTTAAAAAATCTGTTAATATATTTCTGTTTTGTGGTCTTTCTTCATAAAAGCAATTACTGCATTCACTTTTTAAAATTGAATTGCCTAATGTTCGAACAGTTTTCAGCTGCTGTATGTCAATGTTTTTCTGGTAAGTATTCTTCAGTTGTTGGAAATGTTTGCCACTCTTTTCCTCCTTCACCTTATAGTGGATTTAATTTGATGCCATGTGTCACTCATTATTGAGTGGACAAGTGATTTTCATGAAGCTCCATTGGGGGGCAGGGCAAGGTATCCTTTTAGGATAGCTGGCTTCCTTCCACCACCATCAGCCATAGACACAGACTGCTTCATACAACTACTGCTCATCCATTTGACTTTTTGTGTAGCCCCATGTGGACAGTTAATGATGGTCGTAAATTATTTGCTACTCTTCCCATTTAGAGGTGGAGTCTATTTCTCCCATCCCTCAAATCTGGGACACTCTTAGTAAATTGCTTGACAAAATATAATGTGCTGAAAGTGACATTGTAGGGCTTCCATACTAGGTCATAAGATGCCTTGCAGCTTTGACTCAAGCCTCGTGGAACAATTGCTCTGGGGTCATCAGCTACCAGATAAGAAGTCTGACTACTCTGAGATCACGATGCAGATGACTAATCCTCAGCAACCATATGAGGACCCCAAGCAAAACCCATCTGCTGAACCTGTCATATCCCAGAACTGTGAAACAGAATAACAAATAGATGTTTAAAATCACCGAGTTTGGAGGTGGTTTGTTATACAGCAATGGATAGCTAAAACATCCACTTCTACGGGCCGTGTGAACCTGAGCGGGGTGTGAGCTGGCTTCTGCTGTCAGCCTTGCTCACCCAGTTCCCATAGCTGTTGTTACAAAGGAAGGAGATCTCTTTTGCATTTGAGGTTGCATCCTCCACCTGCAGGAGGTGTACATATTCCTAGAGCTTCCCGACATCCACCCCCTCTGCAACCTCTCTTTCTCCCTAGTGAGTGCTGGTTAATGGTGACACTGGCAGCCTTCTCACATATTCTGGAGTCTACAAATGATATGCGTCCCCTAGTTTCACCAAAAAATTATTGTCTGTGAAGTTTTCCCCATTTTCCTTGTTGCGTTTGAATGGTTTCCAGAAAAGGAAGGGAGAAATAGCCTCTTTCTTTCTTTCTGATTTGTTTGTTTTAGACAGCGTCTTGCTCCGTTACCCAGGCTGGATGCAGTGGTACAATCACAGTTCACTGCAGCCTCCACCTCCTGGGCTCAAGCAATCCTCCCACCTCAGCCTGCCAAGTAGCTAGGACTACAAGCATGCACCACCACACACAGCTAATTTTTAAAATTATTTTTTGTAGGGACAAGCCCTCACTATGTTGACCAGGCTGGTTTCAAATTCCTGAGCTTGCGTGATCCTCCCACCTCAGCCTCTCAAAGTGCTGGAATTACAGGCATGAGCGCCTGAGCCCAGCCATCCAGTCCTTTTTTTCTTTTTAGCATCAAGTTTCACTCTGTCACCCAGCCTAGAGTGCAGTGGCGCAATCATAGCTCACTGCAGCCCTGACCTCTCAAACTCCTGGGCTCAAGCGATCCTCTTGCCTCAGCCTTTTAAGTAGCTGGGGATATAGGTGCATGCCACCACACCTGGCTAATTTTTTATCTGTGTAGAGACTAGGCCTTATTATGTTGCCCAGGCTGGTCTGGAACTCCTGGACTCAAGCAATCCTCCTGCCTCAGCCTCCCAAAGTGCTGGGATTACAGGCATGAGCCACCATGTCCAGCCTCTACAGCCGCATTTATACCATAAGTCATGACCATATTTTTTTAATGGCTACATTCTTTTAAATGGGCCATAACCAATCACCTATTAATAGATACTTAGGTTATTTCCAATAGTTCACTATTACAAAGCAATGCTGCAGTGAAAATCTCTTTACATAGATCCTCAAGCAATTATTTCTATAGGATAATTTTCTACAAGTAGAATTCTGGTGTCAAGAGCAATGGCTGATTGAAGGCTTTTTATGCCACTTCAGAATCTGGGAAAACAGCTCACTTTTGCCAGAGGTGACATAAAAATGTCCCTTAAGTAAATTTACTCAGCCACCACTACCCCCATGATTGTTTGGATGTTATGTTTGTTGTGTTGTTTGGTACAGCCTGTGAAAGAACGAGTCTAGGCCAGTTTGGAAAAAATATGCAATCACAGGAGCTTTTCCAGTCAAAGCTTTCAGGTCTCCAAAAGCAGGTTAACTCGGGAGACAGGATGAGGCAAAAGAAGGAGCAGGTCAGAAGAGCAGCTGGGGCGCGGAACCAGGCTGGGTGTGAATACCAATCGTACCACTCACTAGCCACGTGAATTGGGCAGATTATTTAACCACTCTAAGCCTTTTCCTAACCTATAAAATAAGGATAGAAATAGCATCATATCTCATAAGGCTATTATGAAGACTAAATAAGAAATGTGGGCATTTAGTGCTATAAATTTCCCTCTTAACACTGCCTTTGCTGTGTCCCAGAGATTCTGGTACGTTGTATCTTTGTTCTCATTAGTTTCAAATAACTTCTTGATTTCTCCCTTAATTTAATTATTTGCCCAAAAGTCATTCAGGAGGAGGTTGTTCAATTTCCATGTAAATGTATGGTTTTGAGCAATTTTCTTTGTATTCAATTCTATTTTTGTTGCATTGTTGTCCAAGAGTGTGAATGGCTTTTTTTTTTTTTTTTTTTTTTTGGTGGGTGGAGAGTTCTATAGATGTCTACTAGGTCCATTCAGTCAAGTGTTGAGTTCAGGTCCTGAGTATCTTTGCTTTTGATTCGTCTTGCTTTGGCGATCTGTCTAATACTGTCAGTGGGGTGTTGAAGTCTCCCTCTGTTATTGTGTGGGAGTCTTAAGTCTTTTCATGGGTCTCTCAGAACTTGCTTTATGCATTCATCCCCTCTGGAGGATGCAGCAACAAGGCATTATTTGCAGAGAGCAGCCCTCATCAGTCACTGAATCTGCCAGCACCTTGGTCTTAGACTTTCCAGCCTCCAGAATTATAAAAAATAAATTTCTATGATTTAATTTTAAAAAGAACTTGCTTTATGAATCTGGGTACTCCTGTGTTTGGTGCATCTATATTTAGCATAGTTAGGCCTTTTTGTTGATTTGAACTCTTTGCCATGATGTCATGCCCTTCTTTGTCTGTTTTCATCTTTGTTGGCTTACAGTCTGCTTTGTCTAAAATTAGGACTGCAACCCCTGCTTTTTTCTGATTTCCATTTGCTTGGTAGATTTTTCTCCATCCCTTTATTTTAAGCCTATGGGTGCCATTGCATGTTAAATGGGTCTCTTGAAGACAGCATGCTGTTCGGCCTTGCTTCTTTATCCAGCTTGCCACTCTGTGCCTTTTACTTGGGGCATTTAGCCCATTTACATTCAAGGTAAAGGGGACACTTATACACTGCTGGTGGAAGTATACATTAGTTAAACCATTGTGGAAAATAGTGTGGTAATTTCTCAAAGAACTAAAAACAGAACTACCATTCAACTCAGCAATCTCATTACTGGGTATATACCCAAAGGAATATAAGTCATTCTGCCATAAAGACACATGCACACGTGTGTTCACTGCAGCACTATTCACAATAGCAAAGACATAGAATCAACCTAAATGCCCATCAACAGTAGGCTGGATACAGAAAATGTGGTACATATACACCATGGAATCTATGCAGCCATAAACAAGAATGAGATCATGTTCTCTGCAGGAACATAGATGGAGCTGGAGGCCAATATTCTTAGCAAGCTAATGCAGGAACAGAAAACCAAATACTGCATGTTCCCACTGATAAGTAGGAGCTAAATAATGAGAACTAATGGGCACGAAGAGGGAACAACAGACACTGGGGCCTACTTGAGGGAGGAGGGTGGAAAAAGGGAGAGAATCAGGAAAAACAACTATCAGAATTATCAGGTACTATGCTTAGTACCTGGGTGACAAAGTGGTTCGTGCACCAAACCCCCATAACACAAGTTGGCCTGTAACAACAAACCTGTACATGTACCCCTAAATCTAAAATAAAAGTTAAAAAGAAATGTGATTTAAATCACAGCATCCATCACACAGCATGTGCCCAGCAACTCCCAGGTATCATTAACATAATACCAAAAGATCTTCCTGTCCCCAAAATTGTATGAAATTAGAGTAGATTCAGAGGGGAGATGGGGAAAAGAATGGAGGGTGTCAGGTTCCTAGAAGAGATTTTTCCATTCTCTGCAAAGGCACATTGCTAGGAACAGAGTGAATGGGGAGGAGTGGGAGGAGGAGTAGCCAGGGCAAGAAACTGTGTTTTCTCAAAGGGAAAAACTCACAGTAGGAGGTGGAAGGATTTGGGGTTTCTGAGAAGAGGTGAGGAGGGAGAGTTGATAGAGACTACATGATTTAGAGTCCAGGTTATGAATGTGTTCATGGGAACTCTTCCCTTTGGATGTGCACAATCGGATCAATAGACACATGCCCAGACCCTACTCTTTAACAGATATTGGTCAATTCCTCGTCACCCTTTGGCACCAGGCAAATGTGTAAAAAGCTAACTTCTTCCTTTGACTTTAAGGCCTCATGTACGGTTGCACAAGACATCTGTAGAGTGGCGTCCCTGGCATTGTGCAGTGCCCAACCTGAACAGGTGTACTTGGCAGCCCTGCATGGCCTCCACCCTCACGAGCTTCCATATTGCATTGTGTTACCATCTGGCTACCTGTGGTCTTATACAGACCATCAGGTCCCTGAGAACAGGAACATGAATTATATCATTTTTGGTTTTTGGTTGTTTTTTTTTTTTCGCCTCCCATGGTGACTGGTACTCAGTTAGTGACCGATATTTCTCCCCTAGCCACTCTGTTCCCTTCTGATTAGCCCCAGAGAGAGGAAGCAGACTCCTTTGAGACTCAACCCTACCCTGTGGGAACACTCAGTCCAGGCATCACATCCAGTGCCCAGTCCTCTGCCTGCCCTCCCTTTGATACCAGCCCAACTCAAGCACCTGAAAATCATTAGCAGAGACTCTCAAAGGAAAAGGGGCTTCAAGTTCATGTCACCCAGGGCCACAGTATACGGCCCTGCAAGCTGTCCACCGCGCAAGCCCAGGGAGCACCCTTTTCTTGGATACGATGCAATATGTATGGATCCTGCCATCCAACCCATCCAAGCAGGATTCCAGAGACCTCAAGGCCATCCTTGGAGAGCTCTCATTTTCAGGTAGTTCCTTGCACCAAGCCAAAATCTGTCCCCACATCCACCCAACAGTGGTTCACACCCTGGTCCCTATTCTGCCCTCTGGAGTCCTACATACAAAGCCTAATCACCTGTTTCAGACCCCACCCAGGCCTCCTGGGTTCCAACCAAGCCAAGAGGCAATTGTGTTACTGAAGGAGACCCCTCCCTTGTCCCCCCTCTGCAGTGGGGATAGATGGAAAGAGCAAGGCTTAGGATAACCTCACACATAGGTGGCCCTGCCCCTGGCATGCCCACCTCTCTCTGCTGCTGCTGCACACCTCAAGCCTGTCTCCCAGCCTGAAACACACAGGCCCAGTGCAAAAGTAAAGCAGTCAGGAAGTCAGGGAGAAAACACTGCATTCCTGCTTCCTTCTCAGCAAGTTTCCCAAGCAGTGGGCCTCCTCGGGCACAAAGCAATCTCCACGGCCAGGGTTCCCTCAGGATGCTCTTTGGGGAAAGAGCCTCCAAGCTTCCTGAGAGCCCACCCACCATCCCAGCTGGTTATTCCCTCTGACGGTAAGCATTCCAGGGAGTGTGGAGCAGCCACCACCAGTATTCCTCCCTGGGACTCATACAGTCCCAGTTTGGGGATAAGACAAAAGTTTCCCTGGGAGGATGCCAGGGAGGACACTGGCATCCTCTCAGCTCCCAGGAAAAGGGTCATGGACACATCCCCTCCTGGAGGCCAGTGACATTTGCCTGTCCCACACCCCCTTGGGCTATGCTACCTATATCCAGGAACCAAAGGCAACACCCAGCTCCTTTCACTGTCATGGGTTCTGGGGACAAATGATAACCCACTGGACACAGGCAGGACGCCTTTCCCCAACCAAGAAATTAAGGAATCAAGGGCTGAGCTGGGAACAGGAGCTGCAGGGAAGGAGATGGACTGGACCTGGATTCAGGTGGGCCCTGGGCAGGTCCCCAGGAACCGAATGCCTATGAGGCACACTCAGTGGAGGGCAAAGGGGAGAAATAAGCCCAGAAGCAGCAAAGTGACAAGAGAGGACTACGAGTAGCATCCAGGAATTCAGCAGAGGTCAGCGAGCTTGGGAGAGCTAGGGCAGGCAGATAAGGTTCTGGGCTGTTCCTCTTTGGGGCAACAGCCAGAGAAATAGCTCAGCTAGTTGCATAACCCTTCTATTTGCCCAGAGCTTTTGTCCAGAAACTCTCTGTCCTGAGAGGTGATTAAAGAAGACATTCAGCAAGAACTGCACAAGAAACGGAGTCAGCCGGAGAACAAGGAGTGGTCTTCCACTGCCTCACAGGAGGATGGAGGCCCACAACGCATCTGCCCCTTTCAACTTCACCCTGCCACCCAACTTTGGCAAGCGCCCCACAGACCTGGCACTGAGCATCATCCTGGTGTTCATGTTGTTCTTCGTTATGCTCTCGCTGGGCTGCACCATGGAGTTCAGCAAGATCAAGGCTCACTTATGGAAGCCTAAAGGACTGGCCATCGCCCTGGTGGCACAGTATGGCATCATGCCCCTTACGGCCTTTGTGCTGGGCAAGGTCTTCCAGTTGAACAACATTGAGGCGCTGGCCATCCTGGTCTGTGGCTGCTCACCTGGAGGGAACCTGTCCAATGTCTTCAGTCTGGCCATGAAGGGGGACATGAATCTCAGGTAGGCCTGGGGATGAGGAGGGAACAGCCTGGGACAGGAGCTACATTAGAGATGTCACAATTGAGGGGAAGAGCTGGACTAAAGCCAGGAAGGAGTGAATGCAGGCTGGGTGGAGGCTAGGGCAGGGGGAGGCTGGCATTTATTGCCAAGAGCTTATGCTGGGATGGGGGCAGGAGTTGGGGTATGTCTGGTTTAAGCACCAAGCCAAAGGGACCATACTGGTCCAGGAAGCTCGTGGTGATCTCCTTGCTTCCAGAGGTGTCTCAAGGATTGTCTTAAAGGAGCATTGATTTAAGCGAAAGGAACCTCTGGAGAACTGCATCCACCTACAACAGTGGACAGGTTGCCTGCTTTGAGCCCAGAGATTTAAAAGGCAGTGTGATTCGTTCCAAACATCACCAGGAAGATCAAGGTGACTTGGAAACAAATGAGCACCTCAAATTCCTGCAAAGCAGGCAAGAATTTCCAAAAGGTCCTCCCAATTACCTGGTCATCTGAGATGTTTTCTCTTTAAAGTCCCTCATTCCCCATCAGATGCAGTGACATTTCCATGCAAAGGCACAACCAGGGAGATCCCAGCGTTTCCCAGCACCCACTCAGGATATGCCAGCCCCATCTCAGCCACCCTGGTAAGGGGAAGACAGCAGCACCCCCTAACGCCCTGCCCAAAGCATTATAAGCAGAAATCAGCAAGGGCTCGCTCCTGCAGACACAGTATGCAGGGGCTGGTTGATGCTCATCCTTGCAAACGGGGGGACTCTAGTCTTGAACATCTGCCAGAGGAGCTACTTCAGACCCGCTCCAGCTCCAGCAGCCTGTGCTGAAGCTAAAGAAAACTCACTAGCAGAAGCTCTTGCTTTTAGCGAAACCTCAGTCTCAAGCCAGTCCCTCTAACTTTTTACCATTAAGTTTAGTGTTTAATATACTTTTCTAATAGATTTCCTTTCAAGTTAAGGAATTTTCATTCTGTTGCTAGGAATTTTCATTCCGTTCATTCAAAATCATGCTAAATTTTTATTATGTAAGAACATTAAATTTTGTTGAATGACTTTTCTGTATCTACAAAATTATACCATTTCTTTAATCTAATAATACAGTAGTATGTATTAATAGATTATCTAATGTTAAGCCATTCTTACTTATCTTGTTCAATTGTATTGCTTTTTTAAAGCACTGCTTGATTTATTTGCTAATATTTTATTATTTTTGCTTCTATGTTCATAAATAAGAGTGGCCCCCAATTTTCTTTTCCCATATCATTCTCCAGCGTTAGTTCCAAGATCATATCAACCTTATACAATAAATGGGGGCATGTTTCCACTTTTTATATTATCTGGATAGATTTGCATAATATTGCTGCAATCTGCACGTTGCATGTTTAGTAGAACACTACCGTAAGACAGTATAAATCATGTGGGGTTCTAGAAGATAGGTTTTGAACTGCTTATTAAATGTCTTAAATAATTCTAAGTTGAATCAGGTTTTTGGCTTCATATTGACTTGGTTTTGTAGGTTATATTTCTCATGAAATTGTCCATTTAAGCTAAAAATGAAAGTATGGCCGGGCGCGGTGGCTCAAGCCTGTAATCCCAGCACTTTGGGAGGCCGAGGGATCACGAGGTCAGGAGATCGAGACCATCCTGGCTAACACGGTGAAACCCCGTCTCTACTAAAAATACAAAAAACTAGCCGGGCGCGGTGGCGGGCGCCTGTAGTCCTAGCTACTCGGGAGGCTGAGGCAGGAGAATGGCGTAAACCCGGGAGGCGGAGCTTGCAGTGAGCTGAGATCCGGCCACTGCACTCCAGCCTGGGTGACAGAGCAAGACTCCGTCTCAAAAAAAAAAAAAAAAAAAAAAAAAATGAAAGTATGAAAATGTCTGTAGTTTATTTTATTACTTTTTAAAATCTTCATTGTCTCTGTAATTACGTTCCCTTTTTCACACTAACATCAATTTGTGCCATCTCTCTTTGCCCTGGTCTGTCTTGCCAGAGGTGTCTATTTAACTGGCCTTTAAGAAAAATAAGAAAAACAAACCAAAAAAACCCTACTTTTGGTTTTACTGATCCTCTCTAACAATTTACAAAACTTAAAAAATTTCTTCCTTTTCTTTGTATTGGGTTTTTCTCTTTCTAACCTCTTGAGTAAGGTGCTTAACTCATTAATTTTCAGTCTTTCTTCTTTTTCGATATAAATATGTAAGGCTATAAATTGCCCTTTAATAATTGCTTTATTTACTCCTGGCATGGTTTTTAAATTACTTTTTATTGAGATATAATTCACATACCATAAAATCCATTCTTTAAAAAGTACAATGCCTTGGTTTTTAGCATATTTCCAAGGCTGTGAAACTATCACCATTATCTAATTTCAGAACATTTTCAATACCCCAAAAAGGAACTCCATCCCATTTAGCAGGAGTCCCCATATTTCTCTCCCCTTCTAACCCTTGACAACCACTAATCTACTTTCTGTCTCTATGGATTTCACATAAATGGAAGCATTCAGTATGTGACCTTTTGTATCTATACTTCTTTCACTTAGCATAATATTTTCAAGGTTCATTCATGTGACAGCATGTCACAATACTTCATTTGTTTTTGTAATTGAATAATATCCCATTGTATGGATATAATACATTTTGCTCATCCATTCATTCAGCTGATGGACATATGGGTTGTTTCTACTTGTTGCCTAGTATGAATAATGTCTATGGAAGCTCACAGGCAAGTTTTTGTGTGAACGTGCTTTCTGTTCCCTTGGAATATATACCTAAGAGTAGAATTGCTGGGTTATACGGTGACTCTGTGTTTACATTTTTGAGAAACTGCCAAACTATTTTCCAAAGCACTATTTTACATTCCCACCAGCAGTGTATGAGGATTCCAAATTTTCCACATACCCTGCAACACTTGTTATTGTCCATCTTTTTAATTATAGCCATGCTAGTAGATATTAAGTGGTATCTCATAGTGGTTTTGATTTGCATTTTCCTAATAAGTAATGATGTTGAGCGTCTTTTCATGTGCTCATTGGCCATTTGTATATCTTCTTTGGGAAAACATCTCATTCAAATCCTTCGCCCATTTTTTACTTTTTTATTATTGCATTATCAGAGTTCTTCATATATTCTGAATACTAGACCCTTATCAGATATATGACTTGCAAATATTTTCTCCCATTCTCTGGTTGGCTTTTCACTTTCTTGATGGTGTCCTTTGAATCACAAGTTTTTAATATTAATGAAGTCTGATTCATCTGTTTTTTCTTTGGCTGTTTGTGCTTTAGACGTCATATATAAGAAACCATTGCCTAATCCCAAGTCCCCTCACCATGTTTTTTAAATATGTATTTTACTATTTTTATGTTCTAAATACTCTTTTTCCACCATGATTTCATATTTGATTGATGATATAATTAGAAAGTTCCCTTCCCCCCACCCCATGATCCTTTTATTATTGGTTGCTCAGTTTCAATGCTCCTCCCATCCCAGGTCTAAAGACCTCAATTCTGGTCCCTCCCTCGGGCATGAAAGAGTGCCAAGACTAACACTCCACTCCCCTCGATAACCCCTCTATACAGTGAAACTGTTTGTTCGTTTGCTCGTATGTAGAGATGAGTCTTACTTTGTTGCCCAGGCTGGTCTCAAACTCCTGGCTTCAAACAATCCTCCCTCCTCGGCCCCCCAAAATGCTGGGATTATAAGCATAAGCCACTATGCCACACTTAAATGTTAATTTCTTACAAGCTCAAGTGTGTATTTGTTCATGGGGGTTGGGGAGTTCCTATTATCTAGTTCACAATTTTCTTTGAGGGACTCTCCTCACCTCTAACAGCTCTTATCCTTATGACATGTCTACCTATTGTTCTTGATAGCTACGCTCTGGAACCGTTGATATAGGCTGCTCTTGATGCATATTTAAGCCATATTCCATCTTTATGGAAATAATGAAAGAAGTGTAGATGGAGGGTGGGACTGTGGGGAGGAGGAGGGACACACTGAGTGTGGTTTTCCTAGGGTCTTGCCAAGCCCTCACCTCCCAACCACCTTCCCACTGGAATAAAAGTCAGAGTCATATATTTTTAATGTGAATGTCCATAAATCCAAGGAGATGCCCTATCAGCTTCCTTCTCAGTTGACCTTTCCGGAGGGCCTCTCCCTAGACAGGGTCCTGGGACTAACATATATAAGATTCCAAATGGAAAAGGAAATTGAACAAGTAGGATACATATTAGAGCTGGAAGGATATATTATTCAGGCTCTGAGTATCACACTCAATTTATTTTAAATAGTATCAGGAGGAACCAGAAAGTAAAGAGCATGAGAACACCAGAGTTGGGGACTGGAATACTATCCAAGATGCAAAGCAAGTCTGACCAAGTTATCTTGTCACTTACTCAACATGGGTATCTATTACTGCCTTCTCTACTACCCCACCATTATGGCCCTTCAATTATTCTGTTTCGTACTGTTTCACTATTTCTTTTACAGTCCTTTTAATCATGGTATCTGTTTACTGATTTTTCTTAGTAGGGTTTTTGGCTTCTGCCTGACCATCACTCCCATGCCACCCATCTCCAAAGACCAAGTGCCCTGTCATTGTGTCTCACACTCAGACTCCCCACAAGGTAAAATGTGCTGATATAGCTAATCGTTATTGTCTCCGTTGGACAAAGCCACTACAACCAGCCATTCCCTAGGCTCTAAACCAGACATTTAGTAACTGTGGGTCAGGTGCTATTCCCTGGTCCAGTGGGCTAATGATCAGAGTAATGGGATCACACAGTTAGCTTTCTACAAAATGGGCTTGGCATGGGGAAGGTGCTCAATGCAAAAAGGGTTCTATTACAGAGAAGGAGATCAGAATGGCTCCTTCCACAATGAAGCACACAGGGATTGAAGCAGTTGAACCAGCCTAAGTTCAAATCCTGCCTTGGCCACGTACTACCTTGTGTGATTTCGAGCAGGACACAACTCTTCTAGTCCCCAGCTTCCTTGTCAGCAAAAAGAAGATAGTATGCTTACTGCCTAATGATATGGGGGAAAGGAACTGAAGTCACATATGTCAAGCACTTAGCACAGTGACTGGCACTTAGCAGGCACTCAACAAAATAGTCTGTATTTATGGGCTCTCTTTCTCCCCTCTTCCCATGTCTCCCACCAGCATTGTGATGACCACCTGCTCCACCTTCTGTGCCCTTGGCATGATGCCTCTCCTCCTGTACCTCTACACCAGGGGGATCTATGATGGGGACCTGAAGGACAAGGTGCCCTATGGACGCATCATATTATCACTGGTCCCGGTTCTCATTCCTTGCACCATAGGGATCGTCCTCAAATCCAAACGGCCACAATACATGCGCTATGTCATCAAGGTAAGAACCTGGGGGCTTGACAAATTATGGCAAAAGAATAAAAACACCATATGCAACTACACGGTATAATCACTATATTAATAATAAACACATATATGCTCCTACTAGATGCTAAGTTTTATGCCACGCACTCTGAGGATTCATTGTCACCAGAGTCTGATGTTTGCACAAAGTGAAGTAACACATGAGGCCGGTGCAGTGGATCACACCTGTAATCCCAACACTTTGGGAAGCTGAGGTGGGTGGATCACTTGAGGTCAGAAGTTTGAGACCAGCCTGACCAACATGGCAAAACCCCATCTCTATTAAAAATACAAAAAAAAAAATTAAAAAATTAAAAAATTAGCCAGGCATAGTAGCAAGTGCCTGTAATCCCAGCTACTCAGGAGGCTGAGGCAGCAGAATCGCTCGAACCAGGGAGGCGGGGGCTGCAGTGAGCTGAGATCGCGCCACTGCACTCCAGCCTGGGCCACAAAGCAAGACTCTATTTCTAAAAAGAAAAAAAAAAAAAAAGAGAGAAGATCCAATTCCAGTGTACACACAAGTATTTGCAGAAGGCAAGGAGATGGGAACAGTGAGGGCGGGAGTGGTAAAGGAGGCTTCTTAAAAAGGAAGGGCTTGAGGCATTTAGGTAAACCTGGGGAGAAGGCTGAATAGAGGAGTTGAGAGGGCACCAAGGTCAAATTTGGCTGATGTGGCAAGAAGCTAGAGGAGAAAGGTAGTATACCCATTCCCAGCATTTCAGGAGAGGGATGGGGTGGGAAGCAGAGTGAATTAAGGCCACAAAGGTTTTGAGGAGCACTGTGGTCACAGACAGGGCATCATGCCACTGCCTTGTGTGCAGAAAAATCCCGGACTCTTAGAGTGCAGCTATGGTCTCTCCACCAACATTTTCAACGTTGGAGTTCAGTCTCTGCCAGCCTCCCGCTTGGCTCACTGTTCATCCCACAGAGCCAGGGGGTCATCCTGGTCCTCAGGAAGGACTTGGTCTCCTGACATCCTGTACTGTCTCTGCCCTTGCATCAATGCCTCTGGCCTGGTCTGTAAGGCATGCTGCTGAGAACCCCAAAGTTTGGCAGCAGCTTTGGGCCTGGAACAAAGAAGCCAAGAGTCCAGTTTTCAGGGGGGGTTTATTTTCACACTACTATTGTCTCAAGAGTAGTTTTGCCCTTTCCCTGTCCCAGTGCCATGGCCGCTTCCCGCCTGCTGGAGGACATGGAGGAATCATCCCTCCTCCTTTCCCTGGCCGGTCACCCCACCTCAGCATCATTCTCTCCACCCTTGTACTCAGAGACCTCCTTTTATTGATTATGCCCCTGATCCAGCAGCCTCCCCTCTCTCACTCTCATTTCTAAAACATCTCTGTATTGGTTCTTCACAGTCGGCTTGGACACAGACTCACATATCTCCTATCTTCAAAAAAACAGAACAAAAACTATCTCTCACTGGAATTTCTTGTGGAATCCACCTCCCATTCCACCTAATACCTCCCCCTTTGCTCCCCTTCCTAGCCAGGCTTCATGAAAAATCACCCTCACTCCTCTCTCTCTCTCTCTCTCTGTCAATCGCTGCCTCTCAGACATCTTCCATTTCCCCCATGCCACCACCAGAGCTTTCTCACGAGTGACCAGGCCCTCAGCCATTCGTTTCCATTATTTGAATCCCTCTCTTCTCTCCTCCTTGGTCTCCCATCCACCCAGCATCTTGATGACCACCTGCTCCACTTTCTCTGCCAAATCCAATGGACATTTCTCAATCCTTTCTTGACCTTCTAGCAGCATTGGACAGAATTGACCACTGCCGCCTCCTCAAAAGCCTTCTCTGTCAGCTTTAGTGACTCTAAGCTCTGCTGCTTTCCTCCTGCCTCTTGTGACCTCCTTCGGACTCCCTTATGAGTTCCTCTGGTCAAAGGCACTTCTCTGCATTCAGACCAAGCTTTCTGCCTTTCTCACCAGACCTCTCCTAGCCCAGGATCTGATCCCTCTCAGGTCTGCAATTACCATCTGCAAGCTGAGACTTTCAGAACAGCATCATCCGACCTCAACTCTCTCCTGACTCCAGAATCCATTTATTATCTACCGATCTTTCTATCTGAATATACCTCTGGCATTTAAAACTCAATATATGTTAAATAAGTCATCTCCTCCCCCTGTGTGGTTATCTCAGTCGGTGGCACTGTGTGTGTGCCCAATTGCCTCAACCGGAAACTGGAAGTCATTCTCAACGTTCCCTTCTCCCTCACCACTCACACCTATCTAATTAGTGACCGTCGATTCCACCTTCTGTTGCTGGAATCCATTCATTCCTCTCCATCCTTACCTCTCACTAGACAACTCAAATGGCCTTCTCATCCAACCTCCTCACCCAGTTTTAACCTGAGGGTGAAGATGTAAAGTACAAACTCTATCATGTGTCTCCACTGCTTAAAGCCTCTCATTGGCTCCTTCCCCCTAGGATAGAGTTTAAACTTCTTAATGTGGCACCAAATCAAATTGAGATTTGGTCTCAATTGACCTTACCAGTCTCAGCTCTTTTCTCTTTGCACATGCCCTTCCCTTCACCTGAAACACTCTTCTTCCCAATTCTCACCCCACTCACCATCTTTCACTGGGTCACTCCCACTCATCCTTTAAGTCTCAACACAAATAGCGCCTCCTCCAGGAAGCCTTCCTTAAACCTCTTAAGCCGGAGTAGGATGCTTGTTCTATTCATTCCCACAGCACCCAACACTCCAGCCAACCCCTGTAGAAATTATTATACTGCATTAAAAATGTTCATGTTTATTCCCCACTTATTTCTCAAGAAGCAAGACCATAAGGCTATGTCTTAATTAACACTGAATCCACAGCACCTATCACAGTGCCCCCATAGCCAATGCCTGAGAATAAATAAAGGAATGAAGGGCAAGTCCTGTCTGCTGCTCTTCCACACACCAGCAGAAAAACAACGTACACAGAGAAACATGTTTGTGTGCATCATTTCATTTCTTTAAGGTAGTTTGTAGGGTGCATAAGATTGCTTTTTTAAAAATCCTATACACCCACAAACGATCTTAAAGAAATGCATATAAAATATAAAGAATATTAAAGTGTGAAGTGACCACTACTATCATTTAATGCTACTCTACCCTCCCGTTTTATAGGTGGGAAACTGGGGACCAGAATACCAAATCACAGTGCTAATGACAACTGATGCAAGAGCATGTCTCCTTTCTACTTCAGAGTAGCTTTAGAAGTGTTTCTCTGAGGTTGCAAAAAGTGGAATCTCAGATTTTAAAACTGGAGAAGCCTTTAAGATGAAGTTCAGTCTCCTGCCTTATTCTCAATTTGCAGATAGAGTAACTGAGGCCCGGAAAAGGTACTTGGCAGAGCCAGGATTATCTCAACCAGTCTCTGTTCCTGTTGTGTTGCACATCCACTACTCAATGCCAAAGAGGAAATGAAGTCAAAATGAAGCCAGAGAACATTAAAAGGGCTAAGAAATACCTTGGCTAGAAAGACAGAGACTAGTAATAAGGGACTACATAAAAGGTGATCTAAAAAACCCAGGCATGCCCTGGACCCATTTTGTCCCTGGCTAAACCTCCAGGGTTAAACAACCACAAAGTCAACAGCTACACTGATTTTCCTATTTTCCAAAACTGGAATCACTCCTGTGAGGATGCAGAGACGAACATGTGGGTCAAGCTGCAAAGGCTGAGGTTCCCTTGTTTCTATGGCTCTTTGAGGACTATGTTCATCCTTTGTCACCCTGTCCCATAAATAATACAGTGAGTGCCACACTGGAAAATGAACAAATGATTGTCCTGGCCTCTTTGCACACTTAACCCTCCTAGGACCTTGCAAATCAAAATAACCCAACTTTCAATAACTAGCTCTGGCAGCAGGTATCTGCTCACACTGGGTTCAACCAGTTGCATTCGCTGGTGGAAGGTCACATTTAGATATACCAAGATACGATTTCAGGGATGCTCATTTTGAAAGGCAATTCAAGAAATTAACTTAAGGCTATGTGGTTAGAAGGCTGATGAATCTGAGAATGACATAGTCCACAAGCCACTTTCACAAGCCATCCACTATTCTTTAATAAGGATCCCACCATTTCATTGACTCAACACTCTACTCATGCATTTCCCACACCTGCTGCTACTGATGAACTGACCCCTAACTCTCCTTTGTCTTATAGTTTCTGCCAACTTGTGGCTTCTGTTCCTCCCAGGCCTCTGTGTGTTTTGACACTTGTCCCTGCTATTGCTTCCCTCTCTGTAATCCTGCAAACTTCCTAAGTGAGAGAAACTGATTATTTCTACTACTCACCAGCCTGTGCAGGCCACCTTTGTGGGTAGCGTGTGGACATGTCATCTCATGTGTCACTGGTAAGCCAATGGATTGGCTGCTTATTAATGGACACTCATCCCAGTTGTGAGCAGGGCAATGAAGTCAGGTGGTACCAAACATGGTGGCCTATGGAGAAGCAACTACTGAGGGCCACTTGTCTCAGCAGGGGTTGTAGACAGGATAAATTTCCAGAGATGGCAGCGGTGAGAGTGATGAAACTCTAGAATGTTACATTCCTCCCCTTTGAGTAATAATAGGAGTTAGTTTAGTGAATGCTTCTTATATGCCAGGTCCTATGCTGTCAACCTCACTCAGGTTGAGTGACTCCCCAAAGCTTACACACCTGGAGACTAGCAGAGCCAGCTTTCCCACCTGGATCATATCAAAGTCTGTGCTCATAACCACAACTGTGCAGCCCCCAAGAGTCAGAGACCATGAGTGAGAGAATAAGAGTGAATGCCTATACAGAGGAATAGGGCTTCAGGATTCGTGGACAATTCCTGTAGCCCAGTGCCTCCTAAATTATCCACTACACTCTTGATGGAGACAAAAACTATTTGACTGTTGGGTGGAGGGCAAATTCGAAAGACAGAAATCCAAAAGGGGAAATCAACTAAAAATGCAAAGGTAAACTGAGAAGCTCATTAGCTAATAAGACTTTTAATAAAACTTGAAGCACATGGTTATTGAAGAGATGTGTGAAAGTCCTTCCTATGCTGGGATAGGACCACTAATTGGTATAGGTGATGTTTTATATGATCGTATCAGTTGCAACAAGCATTAAAAACAGAAACACAAAGCTGTGCAGCTGAAATGTGAGCAACACAAATGTTAAAATGTCATTAGGACATTATGAATGTACTTAATGCCACTGAACCGTGCACTCAAAAGTGATTAAAACGGCAAACTTTGCTATGCATATTTTACCACATTTTTTTAAATGTTACTAGGAAATATAAAATGCAACACATGTGAATGAACCAAAAAGTGAACCATCACATATAACTATTACAAAATAACATGGTATGTTTGAGAAACATTTGCAAAGGAGATAAAAGGGACAGTCTTAAATTTACACATACCTGTTTATCATTTTGGAGCATGCAATTCTCTAAAATGCACACTGGAAAGTACAAAGTGCACGGAGGTGCACTTTGAAAGGTTGCATCCTATGTTGCACAATGAAAAATCCTATAATTTCATTCAGAGTAGACCCGCGTAGTTTCCAATGATGTTGTTATTACCCAAGACATTTCTGAAAGTTATTTTGGGAACTTCCTTCATATTCAATTTGCAGATCACTCAAGAAAGTAGGTTTATCCCCTTATTATTAGACATCATTTTGGGTTTAAAACCGTATTTACGGGCTTGATCATTTACCTTGACCAGCTTTGTTTCAAATGACTCTTGGCAATTTCCAGAAGTCAAATTGATCCTAAAATGGATAAAATCCCTATCTGTAACAAAGGTATTTGAGACAAATATGTATGACAAGTTCTAATGAGTTTCAAAGTATGTGGAACAATGACAGTATTGTAGGAATGTGTATATAAGTTCCAAAAATACTTTGAAACTTTTAATATATGCATTTTGCAGGAGGCCTGAATAGCCTCATATAACACTTCACTCAGTTTGCTATCTAGAGATGTGTCAAAAGCAGAAACTGTGCTTGGTTGAGTTTGTAATAATCAAAGTGTTAATCAGCTGTCCCCAGGCTTCCTAGCTACTGATAAGAAATCTAAAAAGATGGGCTGGGTGCAGTGGCTCACACCTGTAATCCCGGCACTTTGGGAGGCCACGGCAGGAGGACCACCAGAGTCCGGGAGTTTAATACGAGCCTGGGCAACACAGTGAGACCCTGTCTCTAATATTAATAATTTAAAAAAAGAAATCCAAAAAGAAGATAAAGGTCTTTCATATTCCCTTCCACTCCATGTTTTATTGCAATGTTTCCCACTTCCAATTTCTACCTGTGCTTCCCTCCTCTCTGTTCCTTTCTATCCCCAACTCTTCTAATTGCCTTTTCTTCTTGTCTTCATTCCCAGGGAGGGATGATCATCATTCTCTTGTGCAGTGTGGCCGTCACAGTTCTCTCTGCCATCAATGTGGGCAAGAGCATCATGTTTGCCATGACACCACTCTTGATTGCCACCTCCTCCCTGATGCCTTTTATTGGCTTTCTGCTGGGTTATGTTCTCTCTGCTCTCTTCTGCCTCAATGGACGGTAGGTATTTTTTTTTTTTTAAGAAAGGGTCTCACTGTTTCCCAGGCTGGAGGGCAGTAGCACATTCTCGGTTCGCTGTAGCCTCAACCTCCTGGGCTTAAGTGATCCTCCTGCCTCAGTCCCCCAAGTAACTGGGACTACAGGCACAAGCCACCATGCCCAGCTGATTTATCTTTTCTAGCGATGGGGTTTTACCATGTTGCCCAGGCTAGTTTTGAACTGAGCTCAAGTAATCCGACTGCCTCAGCCTTCCAAAGTGCTAGGATTACAGACGTGAACCACCACACACCTGGAGATAGTATTATTTTAGGTCCCACTGTCCCACGGGCTTCATTCTTGTCCTAGTCTTTCAGGAAAAGAATAACAAGCTAGGAACCTGAAACCTGGGCAAGGCATTTTCCTGGCAATATGTTCAGATGCACTAACTGGACAAGAGACTTGACTAACTGGCCAAGAGACTTGAAAAAAATTGAGGAAAGGTATTGAACGGATTAAAAATCCAGACACCAAAGGTATCCAAACACCAATAGCAACAGCAAAGTACCCCTGTCTAGGGTCTAGATTCCATCTGCTGACAAACTCCTTGGTAGCGGCACTGGGACAAAGTTGCTCCCTCCAGTTCCTTCTGAGTGTATGTGGCATTTTCTTCACCAACACAGGTGCCGACGCACTGTCAGCATGGAGACCGGATGCCAAAATGTCCAATTGTGTTCCACCATCCTCAATGTGGCCTTTCCCCCTGAAGTCATTGGGCCACTTTTCTTCTTTCCCCTCCTCTACATGATTTTCCAGCTTGGAGAAGGGCTTCTCCTCATTGCCATGTTTCGGTGCTATGAGAAATTCAAGACTCCCAAGGGTGAGTACTGAATGATCCCCACTTCAAGTTCTGCTCCAGTATTGGACCTGAGCCTGCCAACAAGCAAGTTTCTAGTAGGGACTTTTTGGATAGGGCTTTAGCTTTTATCAAGCCACTAAGAACCAGGTAGCCCCAAGAAGCATCCAAGAAGCTTTAAAGATCCAAGGCTACTTCCATCAACTGCACTCCATTTCTTCCTTCTAGCTGGGAGAATGAAATTGTGGATGCAGTTTACCTCATGAAACTGAAGGAATTTGGGCTGCTTTGTCTCAGTAGGGAGACATCATAGGACAGAACTGCCTTGAACAACTGAGATTATTAGTTGTGTGAAAGACCTCTACTCACAAGAGTTGGGGAAGTTTCCATTTCTCAGGACTAGGCTCTCATCTCCTGGAACCAGGTCAGAGCCACAGCACCACTGGCACCCCCATATGAGGTAAAACATATGAAAGCATTGCAGCCTAATATAACCCAGAATAAAGAAAAAAAAAAAAAAAGATTCCTCAACTCCAGTTACACAGTAAAGGAAACTTAAGCATAAGATTGTTAAAACAGTGACTACCTCCATAATAAACTTGATTAATATGATTTATACTTTACTCTGATCACTATGGGGTTAACATAGCATCTCTTCTCTAAAATGCTCAGAGCATAACCTTTCAAAATAAAATTGAACCTCAAGACAGACCAGAGACCAGTGTCTTCCTCAAAGTGTACTTTAACACCAATTAAAAAAAAAAAAAAAAAAAACCGGACATTCAAACATCCAAACCTACTTTATAACACACTTCATTGTAACGCTAAACATGAGTATATTCTTCCTAAGTACTTTCCAAATCCTTCAACTGTCCCTTCAAATCCATGAATTGAAGTCCCCTTCAAAACCTTGTCTAGACCCTAGGGACTGTGATTTACACCCTAGGAGAAATACACAACTTTCCCTGTTGGAATTTGTTACATTATACTAGCAAATACATTATTTGCTAGTACATTATACTAGCAAATTCTCTTTCCCTTTGCAATTAGCTAAGATGTAATTTACTAGCAAATTCTCTTTCCCTTTGCAATTAGCTAAGATGTAATTAGGTTGCCAAGCAGCCAACAGGAAACAAGTACAGGCTGACCATACTCTAGAATCATTTTTGAAGCTTTGGTTCAAAGCTACAGTGGAGTTGTGAAAAAGAATCTAGTCTGATGCTTACCTGAAACGAACGCATGAGATTTGCTGCCCTCTTACAAAAAGTGCACAGAAGTTTCTAGACCAACCAAGTTCCCAGATTTGAGGTTTTAGTGCCAGAAAGGCCTGGAGTGACCTCAAAGGACAATACTCTATGGATCTTTAGCTCTCAAGACTTATAAAGAACTTTCCTCACAATGTATCTCAGAAGACCCCAGTGGAAACACTAAATCAAAGCAACTTCTTTGGACCTAATGGCCCCAAGAAGCTATTCTCAGGGGAAAGAATCTGTCAAGTTTTTATACTTTTGATTCTTGTACCTTTCTATACAGATGGAAGCACTCTGTATAGGGAACTCTCCCATCTGTATAGAAAGGTGCAGGAATCAAAGCTATCTTCAAATTTGCATCACCACCTACACGATGGGCAAGAAAAGAGGCAGAACAATTGGGTGTTGGGGGGAAGAACTGGAAACTCTCTTGGTTAGACTCTCTCAAAGATCTTTCCTCCCTGCCTCCTCATTCCCTGAATGCGACACAGTCCTTGCATACATAAACTCATCTCCCCTGTTGTTTTACTGTTATGTACAGAGAAGTTAGAGGTGAAGTGATGATGAAGACTCAACAGTCTAATTCATTAAGACTTTTATTACTAGTACTACCATTAGGGAGATTGAAGGGAAAGTGAGTTTAAAGAGTAAACCACGGGAGAGATGACAGAGATGGAAAATATATACATAGCACACCCTAGGGCTGAGTTGGTATTCTTGTACTTTCCAGATTAAACAATGTTCATTGTTCACTCCTCTTGTTCTGTCTCTACATCTATGACCCTTAACTTTACAGATAAAACAAAAATGATCTACACTGCTGCCACAACTGAAGAAACAATTCCAGGAGCTCTGGGAAATGGCACCTACAAAGGCGAGGACTGCTCCCCTTGCACAGCCTAGCCCTTCCCCTGGTGGCCTGGATTCTGGTCCCAAAGCAATTCTGAAAGCCAGTCTGGTCAACTACAGAGAGCAGCAAAAACAACAGTCTTGCCTGAGTCTCTCTCCAGCATTTCCAGTACATCTATCAGAATCATCAAGCCTTGGCCGGGAACACAGACAGGGTGTCTGCCCAAGAAGCCTCAACTATCCCCAACTTAAGAATTTGCTACTTATTTCAAAGACTTGTTCAGTGACTGGAAATTCTATGAAACCAGAAACCAAATCTGCCTCTTGCCAGGATCTCTGAAACAGTGCCTGATAAGCATCTTAAGTCACTCAATTCCTGAACTAATCAATATATATGTTTAACCCATTACTCAAATACCCAAATCCCATTCCAAGTTTTGTGACCCAAAAGAGAAATAAATAAATGCTCAAGAATGCTGTAGAATTAGACTTCAAAAGTTCTAATCTAAAAAATTCAGATCCCATTCCTTCCCTTTTGACATGATTGGGATGACGCTCCCAAAAAGTCAAATTTGACATCAAGTATGCAAAAGTGAACACAGTAAGATGCAATTAGGCAAAACAAACTCAAAAATAGCTAATGAAATGAAAAAACTGGGCAAATGCATCATGTTAGTAGAGGAGAAAAACCTTTGACAAGGAAAAACCAGGAAACAAATACATACAGTAACACAATGTCACCTAAGAATCTCTTTTTTAAGTTCAGTAGATATCTGGTTTTAACACAAAGCACCCCCAAAACTGGGTACAGCAAACTAAATGAGTGGTTTCCCAATTCAAAGAAAAATGTTCAAATACCTAGAACTCACAAATTTCAAACTGTCTCTAATAAAATTTAAACATTTTGCATATCATATGCAAATAAAGATCAAGTAAATGATTAACAACGAATATTAACACTTACAAAAAGTCAATCATGCTTAGTTACTTGGGATTTTTATCATTTTGTATGGTCAGGTACGAATGAAACCAAGACAATATAGTTTTCAGGTGTCAGTTTGGCAAATGTGCAGGACTAACAAATACTCCCAACACCAAAACGAGAATCACAGATTTGGGTCACTAACATCCTCTTAAAAAAGCAGTTTTTGAAAAGGCTACTATCATTTTTACTAATTATATCCATATATACCTAACTGTTCAAATTGTTTTCTCTATTATCTAACCAACATCATCTGCTAGGAGACTTGGTTACATACAAGTTATATAAGAACACATTTGTTTAGCTTCTGAAGATAGGGTTGGCCTCAAACTGCCCTTAGAAAGGAATAAACATGGCCAGACGCAGTAGTTCACACTCGTAATCCCAGCATTCTGGGAGGCCGAGGTGGGCAGTTCATGAGGTCAAGAGATGGAGACCATCCTGGCCAACATGGTGAAACCCCATCTCTACTAAAAACACAAAAATTAGCCAGGCATGGTGACACACGCCTGTAGTCCCAGCTACTCAGGAGGCTGAGGCAGAAGAATCGCTTGAACCCCAGAGACAGAGGTTGCAGTGAGCTGACAGAGCGCCACTGCGCTCCATCCAGCCTAGCGACAGAGCAAGATCCCGTCTCAAAAAAAAAAAAAAAACAGTAAGGAATAAAGATGAAAGAAACAGAAAACAAAGGTTACACCGTGCCCTACAAAGGCAGGTCCTAAACCTTTCCTTAGGATTACATCCACACTCCTCATATCTCAAGCCTGGTTTTGCGAGTCCCTTTTTGAGACATAATCGTTATCTCCCTGCCATTTTTTCAAAAGAAGGAATTTATTGTATTCCCTAACACAAGATTAAAAGTAGCTTAAGTCTTGGCTGGGCACAGTGGCTCACTCCTGTAATCCCAACACTTGGGAGGCCAAGGTAGGCAGATAGATCATTTGAAGTTAGGAGTTCGAGACCAGCTTGGCCAACATGGTCAAACCTCGTCTCTACTAAAAATACAAAAATCAGCCAGACGTGGTGGTGGGCACCTGTAATTCCAGCTACTGGGAGGCTGAGACATGAGAATCACTTGAGACTGGGAAGTGCAGGTTGCAGTGAGTCACCACTGCACTCTAGCCTGGGTGACCAAGCAAGACCCTGTCTCAAGAAAAAAAAAAATTAAAAAAATAAAGACTGGCAGAGTAGTTCATGCCTGTAAACCTAGCACTTTGGGAGGCTGAGATGGGTTTATCACTTGAGGTCAGGAGTTTGAGACCAGCCTGGCCAACAGGATAAAACCCAGTCTCTACTAAAAATACAAAAAAAAAAAAATAGCTGGGCATGGGGGTGGGTGCCTGTAATCCCAGCTACCCGGGAGGCTGAGGTAAGAGAATCGCTTGAACCCAGGAGGCAGAGGCTGCAGTGAGCCAAGACCGCCCAAACTGGGCAACAGAGTAAGACTCCATCTCAAAAAAAAAAAAAGTTTGTCTGATTATTTAGAGGTAGACAGGAAAAACAGCAACCTACCACACTGCCCTGAGAAGCACATTCTAAAAGCCCAAGGGGGTAAAGTTGCTTTTGATAGCAACTTCAGGCTGACCAAGTACTGCCTTCAGAGACACTGAGAAAATCTAGAATCCACCATTTATTAAAATAAACCTGGTTCCCTCAACTAATTCAACAGGTATATACCAACTCCTAAACCCAGCCTCTTATTACAATTAGCAGCTTTAAACGTCCATAACCTGTTCTAGTCTTAGAAACAGCCAGGGAGTGATCTTTTAAAAATTAAGGATATCAAAAACCTTTCAATTCTCCCAAATGGAGATTCCCACTTCCCAATCCCCACGCTTTCGGGAAGCTAAAAGCTTCTAATTCTTTCTAGTGCTTCTAATTCTGCCGTTTTCCAAATCCCTGGACGGCTAGAGGCAAAAATCCTTGTCAACAGTGAGTATAGTGTGGGGGTCTTGGAATCAGACTTCCTGGATTTTAATACCAATCCATCCCTTCTTTGAAGAATTCCTGAATTCCCACCAGTAAAATGGTATTAGATTCAGTCCATACAGAGATACGGCACTTAAAACAGTGCCTGGCTATTAGCATCAGAAGCTACATAGATGTTATTCACTGTTTCCCAGTATTTATGTAGTCTAGCCCCCACAGAACTAAGAATATATCTAAGTGTCTTGAGACTCCTGTATTAATATAGCTCCTTTTCTACACATCTAAGGCAGGGCTTGAAAGCTCAAATATAGAAGTCTAAGGTTAATATGGATATAGGACCTTAGGCATTTTACACTACTGTTTTCCCTTAAACATGTACTATCCCATACGTATCTCAAGACAAAAAGTACCATGTCAAAGTCCCTTAAGCATTCATGTTACCCGACCACCAAACTGCATCACAACTGGACACAGCAGTTCACACCTATAATCCCAGCACTTTCGGAGGCCAAGTTAGAAGATCACTTGAGTCCAGTTCAAGACCATCCAGAGGAACATAGCAAGACCGTCTCTAGAAAAACATTAGCCACACGCAGTGGTGCACACCTGTAGCCCTTACTCAGGATGCAAAGGCAGGACGATTGCCTGAGCCCAGGACATCAAGGCTGCAGTGACCACTGATCACACCCCTACCTTCCTGCCTAGACAACAGAACAAGATCCTGCCTCAAAAAAACAAAAACAAGGCTGGGCACAATGGATCATGGCTGTAATTCTAGCACTTTGGGAGGCCAAGCAGGTGGATCACCTGAGGTAAGGAGTTCAAAACCAGCCTGGCCAACAGGGTGAAACCCCCATCTCTACTAAAAACACAAAATTAGCTGGGCATTGTGGCACATGTCTGTAATCTCTGCTACCTGGGAGCCTGAAGCAGGAGAATCACTTGAACCTGGGAGGCAGAGGTTGCAGTGAGCTGAGATCGCGCCATTGCACTCCAGCCTGGGCAGCAAGAGCAAAACTCCATCTCAAAAACAAAAAAACCTATCATAACCTTTAAGGTAGTCAAGAAACACTGCTTCCCACACTATCCTCCTCTTGACTCTAAGTAACCTGATGCCAATAAAGTCAGGAGATAAAGGAAACACATGGGGGGGTTGGGGGACCCATGAACACAAAGAAAACTCAATTGTGATTTTAGCATTCGCTTACATCTTTGTATTTTGAATAGCGTGGAGACATCAAAAACACTTTTTAAAAAGAGACCATAACGACTCCAGGATTCTGGATGTGTTTGGTGTTTTAAATGTACTGTATGATGATAAGGATGAGAAGTAAACAGCATAGGACTTCTTCAGACAGACAGACAAAAGGAGTTTTATAATATTTTATTATCAATAACAAACAGCTGCTTTAATGTGTCTGTCCCGCAGCTGTTAAAGAGTGAAGGACACCCTTGACCCTAACAAGGAAAACAAATTAAGCCTTTATGTACAAGCAAATTTAGAGCTCTTTTAAGTGTCCAAAGCTATTAATTAGTTTAATTGAGGCATTAAACTAATTCTGAATTAACATATTTTAATAACCAGGAACTAAAATGTTCAAATTTTTTTCTAGTACAAAAAAATTAAATTTGCTTTAGTTATAAAAGAGCTCTGTCAATATACACAAACTATATACTTCAGACATTCACAAAAATGTGAGCAGAAGGCTTATCAAAAGACATTTAATACAATTAGTTTTCAACAACCCCTTGGTGGTCCACATCTACAAAGATATCCAGCCCAACCCAACCCCCCTTCCAAATCCCACCCCCACAGAAAAGCACATACTTACCAGAATTTTTAGCAAGTATGGTTTGGGAATTTTTGGAGTTTTTGTTTTTTAAAAAAAGGCCCCCAGGGCAAGTTATTTACAGTTTAATTGCCACTGTCAACTGATCTGGACCTTGATCGGGACCGGGACCTCTGACGATCCACAGATGCTGGAGACTTAGATCTACTTGAAGAACCACGTTTCTGGCTCTTCTCAGGCACGGGAGACCTACTAACAGAACGGGACTTGCTCCGGCTCCGGCTCCTGCTCCTGCTTCTTGACCGGCTGTAAGATTTGCGACTACGGGAACGGGATCGGCTACGAGACCTAGAGGAACTTCTGGTCCGGGATCGAGACCTACTTCTTGACCTACTATGAAAAATGAGAAGAAATTAGCCTAGGTAAGACTCTACAGCAAACCCATTAAATACAACTTTTGACTTAAAAATTAGAAATACCTGTGCCTTTTGCTGCCTTCAATTAATTTTATTTTTCTCCCATTTATTTCCTTTCCAGAAAGTTTTTCAATAGCATTCTTTAAGTCACCATAAGAGGCAAACTCAACCACCCTAAAATGGAAAAAAGCCACTTTTAAAGTATACACATCCTGTAGTCGCACACATTGCACATAGCAGTCTAGGTTAAGTTGTTTCTATGTTCACTTTAGCTATCACTACTGAGTCTCATTTCTGCATAATGCAGTATTAAAAGAGCAAAGTTTTGGCACTGTTATACTTTGAGCCAATTAATTGTTGGGGAGGGTTCCCTATGCATTGTGGGATGCTTAACGGGATGCCTAGCCCCTAGCGACTAGATGCCAACAGCATCCTCCCTCAACCAGTTGTGACAACCAAACATGTCTCCAGACACTGCCAAAGGTGTGGGGGGGAGAGGGGAGGCGGCAAAACTGTCCCTGGAGAATCTCTACATTATAACATGTTCAAATTTTAAGTCCTCAACACTAAGTTCACAGTAAAATTTTCAGGATATTTTTAAAGAGTTTCACAATTTCCAGTACATACCCTTCATTTAATTTAGGTCGGTGTGCATCCGCAAACGTTACTTCCCCAGCTTGTCTCATGAAATCTTTGAGATCCTTAACACAAGATAATTGTGTTAAGCAAAGAAGAGGAAAGGGGACACACAAACAATCACATGATATAAAAAAAAACAAGACTACTGAAAGAGAAGATGTTAGATAAAGTACAAACATGGCATTTACCACACTTGTATTCTATCAGAATTCAAAAATTATCTATGTCAGGGCACGGAATAAGGAAATAGCATATTGCTTTTAAGCAAAATGCTAAAGGAAATTCAGATTTTAACATTAAGGTAGTATTAGTCTATGCTGAGCTCAGTACAAAAGAAAAAAAACAAACAAAAAAAACAAAAAAGGAAACAGTACATATTTTTAAAGTAAAGACTAAAGTAGAGAAGTTTTATTTAAAAAAAAAAAAAAAAACAGAACATTTACAAGACACCAGTTATTTTGTGCCCCATATGTCATTAAAAAAGTTTACTTTACCTTTATTATTATTTCCCTAGGCTAGTCAAGCAGCAAACCATTAATCGGTCGGAGAAACCTTCATGACATATGCCCGACTGGCTCTTCGCCACCCACTTGAAGGACACTACCCAATCGATGGAAGCCTTTAATCGCACAGCCCTCCCTATTAGCAGACTATTGGCGGATGCAGACATGTTCTACTCGAGCAGTTACCAAGGACCACTTTACTGCGATCAGGATTCCAACGACCACCTAATTTCGTATCTTTCAACTCTTTTCGACCGGACCTCTTATTCGGAAGCGTTACAGGAAGACAGGTCTCAACTTAGGGATCAGATCACGTTATCAACGCTCTGGGATCGCTGCAACCTGGCACTTCAAGGAAGTGCACCGATAACGTCTAGACCGGCAAACACAGATCTAGAGGTGGCCAACTGATCACTGTAGGAGCTGACTGGCAAAGTCAACCAGGCCCAACCAAGAGTGACCAAGACAACGATTAGGATAACCCACAGGCACTCCTCGTCATAAGGCCAACGACACAGACAGGCTGGCAAATAAAGGGTTTAATATTTGGTTAAAAATTGATTTTAAAAAACAAGAAAAATATCCTCAAAACATTTACATTTGATCACTAATATTAAAGTTCAAAATATCCCCCAAATTACATTTAATTAAATGTTTAAAATTACAATTCCATTAAATCCATTAATTTAAGATAAAACTACTTTTAATAAAATAAAACATTAGCTACCCATTAACTTTTTTAAAAAAACCACATTAAAATAACTCAAAACTGTATTTCAACAAACCTGCCAGCTGACTCTTGAGGATAAATTCTCAACTATAAGCCGATTTTCTGTTCTTACAGGTGGAGCATTTCTGAGGAAGAAAATTCGTATTCACAATGGAAGAAATGCAATGACAGCACTTGTGTTCAACTGTGGGCAAGTTCAAGCCATCAGATATGACAAGCCATCCTAATGACTTCCGTCAACAGATTCTGTGTTCTACGACTCATATAGATTCATCAAGAACAATGGGCTTACGTGGGAATAGAAAAACACATTATATGGCAGGACCCCGAATCATCACTGCTAATGTCTCCTGAACCTTAAATGCTACCCCTACAATAATTGTTCAATGCAGCCGTCCCCCCTTCACATACCGTCTATCATTTCGAGGTCTGCGACTACTAAAACGGTCAGAGTATCGTCCTCTACCTCTTCCACCTCGTGACCGAGCCCTAGCATGTTCAATAGTAACCCTACAAAAGAGGAAGAAAAATCTCCGTTACACACTTAAGTTATATAGATCTACTTAGAAAAATATGCCAGCAGACCCAGTCTGCTCTATGTCCCAAAGCTAACTAGTTACACAGGAGTCTCACCTTTCACTACAGAGTTCTTTTCCATCAAGCTCATACACAGCATCATCTGCATCCCTCGGATCCTCAAATTCCTAAAATGTAAGTATAAACATGGGCTTTAGAAGAGTATTCTACAACATAATGAGCATTGAAATCAGGAGACAGAATAGGAAAAGAAGTATCTTAACAACACTGCCACATAGTCAAACCTAATCAAGGAGCCACTAGGAGTGGGTTCCAGTGAGCCGGCAAGTTCAAGTTGTTTTCAGCCTCAATAAAACTCACACACAAGGCTGGGTAACATTTTCTGAACGCAAATATTCTACCTGGACTCAAGATCGAAAACAACTGCTTATCAAAACTCTACCTACTTAGCAGATAATTCACCCAGTTCTAAATACTTACCACAAAACCAAAGCCTCTTTTCAGATCAATATCTCTTATCCGTCCATATCCCTTGAAGAATCTTTCCACGTCCTTCTCCCTGGCCGCTGGATTTAGTCTCCCGATGAATACTCGACAGCCACTCATGATGTCCGGCTAGTACTTCCTATTAGAAAGTAATTCAATCGAGATAACAGCAATGACTGTCACAGGGAAACGCCTGATCAAAGAATCAAAAACATAAACAGCGTAAAATGTTTACCCAGCGATGTTATAAACGGGATTGCCAAGAGTGTCTCTAATGAAGCCAGGTTAACTTGCAGACAAAATTAAAACCCAGCTCCCTCCCAACACGGTCCGTTACTGGGCCCAGACCGCAGCAACCGCAACGCCCACTGCCACCTCTCCAACTGCGCAGCCGCACACTCTCCACAGCTCTCCGACCCCCTCCCATCTGCCGCAGTTAGGAAAGGCCGAGAAGTGCGGGCGGAGCCGCCCCCGCCCTCCGCAAAGCCAGCCCAATGGCGGCCTCGCGGGCGCGTCACAGCGGGTGGAAGCCGGATTCTCGCGACGCCACGACCGCGCCTGCGCCAACGGGGCGGGCGCTCTGCGGCCACAAAATGGCGGCGATGGAATCAGCAGCAGCACAGCCGCGCGTGCCAAATTCCCTTTTCCCTCCTCCTCCCAACTCCACCGTTCTTGGTGTCACTGCGGCCGCCCTCCAAAAGGCCCAGCCGCATCGCCAGTCAGGGAGATCCCGGCCCACTACTCTACGGGTCTAGGAGATGAAGACGTTAAGACCGGCAGGGAGGGGCGCACAACCGCTGTGTAAAAACGTAAAAACCACCCTAACAGTGACCGCCCTTCCACCTCAGTACCCCTCAAACAGTATGCCAAAAGGGAGACGTGCCCCAGCGCCCACCTCGAATCAACTGCGCTCATTAGACGCCGTCCTCCGCAAAGAGAGCAGCCCCAGCCGCTCACGAATTGAGCGGCCATGAAGAAGCCTCGATCCGAGAAGGCTTGCCCTCAAAGTGAGCCACTCACCTACCGGACGGGGTCTTTAGCGGCTGAGACCCAGACAGGTCCGTAGTCTGCCACGGAGTCGTCGGCCTCCACGCAGACCAGGACTTAACTCGTCTACGCCTCTCCACAACTGACGCACTTAGCAGCTCTGGCACTCCACAAAATGGAGGCCACGTCTCTGCGTCACTTCCGGGGACGCCCCTGGGCCTTGGGTCCACCCTGTTGGACCCAGGGAAGACGGAAGTTTTGGGAGGGCCGGAAATTTCGGGGAACGTGGGTCTCCTTATCTTGACACTGTGAGTGACCGACCCTCCGCCCGCGGTGGGTGGGGCCGGGGGCGGGAACTCGCTTGGGCACTGCCGGCAGGTGCCGGAGTCTGGAGGGACATCGGTTGAAGTTGTTCGCCCCTTCTAAGTCCTTGGCGTTCGGTTCATCATCATCTCTCCCAGAAGAGTCTCCTGGGACAAGTATCAGCCCTTCTTGTATCTAAAGTTTTTCTTAGACACACACAAGATTACTAATTAGAAGAAACTTAGCTTTGCAGAAATACCTGGCCTTTCCTTATCTCTCGCCCTCAAAGCAGAGAGCTCCTAGATGTTCGAGTTCTTTTTTCAGCCATGCCACAGCTCTATGGTTTTGTTGTAGTGAGAAGACTAAGGAACTGAAGTATTTTTTTAAATGAAAGGGTTTTGACTGTTGAAATGTTGAAAATGGTACTGCAACTAGAAGGCTGTCTTGAATTGAGGCTGGAATACAGATTTCTGCATTTCCATCACTCTGGGAGAGTGGCTGGAAGAGGTTTCAAGCTGCTTTTTTTTTTTTTTGAGACGGAGTCTCGCTCAGTCGCCCAGGCTGGAGTGCAGTGGCGCCATCTCGCCTCACTGCAAGCTCCGACTCTGGGTTCACACCATTCTCCTACCTCAGCCTCCCGAGTAGCTGGGACTACGCCGGCTAATTTTTTTTGTATTTTTAGTAGAGACGGGGTTTCACCGTGTTAGCCAGGATGGTCTCGATTTCCTGACCTCGTGATCCGCCCGTCTCGGCCTCCCAAAGTGCTGGGATTACAGGCGTGAGCCACCGCGCCCGGCCTCAAGCTGCTTTTAAGTCGAAATGGTATTTGGTTAATCCTCCCCGTTGAGATTTCTGTAATGTAACACATGAAAGTTTGCAATTCTTTTTTTTTTTTTTTTTTTTTTTTTTTGAGATGGAGTCTCGCTCTGTCGCCCCGGGCTGGAGTGCGGTGGCCGGATCTCAGCTCACTGCAAGCTCCGCCTCCCGGGTTCATGCCATTCTGCTGCCTCAGCCTCCCGAGTAGCTGGGACTACAGGCGCCCGCCACCTCGCCTGGCTAGTTTTTTGTATTTTTTAGTGGAGACGGGGTTTCACCGTGTTAGCCAGGATGGTCTCGATCTCCTGACCTCGTGATCCGCCCGTCTCGGCCTCCCAAAGTGCTGGGATTACAGGCTTGAGCCACGGCGCCCGGCCGAAAGTTTGCAATTCTTTAGAAACAGAGAATGCCGTGCTTTCAAAGTGGGTGTGAAACACAGCCCTCCATATTAACTCCCCCGAGGTCCCGATAAGGTTGGTAGACCCAGAAACTTAGGCATAAAGAGATTGGTTAACTTTGCTTTAATGCTTTTATGTAGAACCCAGTGCACCCGATTTTTGAGAAGTGCCTGGAATGTGGAGTTGCATGCTTGCAACTAGAGTTAAACAGAAAAAGTAGTTCAGGAAGAAGGAGACAACTGACACTTAACTCTGACCTCAGGGGCCCTTAGGCACTCAGAACTGAAACTTGGATAGTTTGTATCGGTAAGTTTGTCCATTCATAGTTATATGTGCAAATAAAAAGAGTCTCAGTGGGTACATGACAAAATTGTAAAGTTAGTTACCTATGATGTGGGAGTTAAGGATGGGTTTATAACACAATATGTATTTAATGTATTTGTTCAATTAAAAGAAAAAAATGTTATCTAGTTGTTGGCCTGATGAACATTGGCATTTTATAATGCACAAATTGTCCCAGACCAGTTTGTATTTAATTACATTTGTTTGGTTTCCGCATAATAAACAAGTCTTCCCGATTACTTTCTACATTTTATGTTTACTATGAAAGCAACTCTTTTTATTTCACTCACTACCACTTTTTTTGTTTTGTTTTTAAGGCTAGTAAAGCAGTGGGACTGGAGAAGGAACTAACAACTACATTTTATTTTGGCTGCAATAAGAAAAAGTAATCTGGAAAAGGTTTTCTGGGGGTGAAAAGTAAAAAAGATGGTGCTGTACACCATGAAGAAGTTGCTACTTTCAGCTCATGTTGATTTTCTTCAGGACCAATTTTTTAATGAACACTTTTCTCTGATTTATTTATTATTTAAAAGTTTATGAGTTCCACAAAAGTAATTTTTCTTTAGTAGTGCCTAGAGACAATATTTTAAAACACTTGTCTTCTGCATTGTTGGCTTTTGCCATGACAACCATCTAATCTCAAGTCTCCCTATTTGTATTAGTCCGTTCCCACACTGCTATAAAAAAACTATCTGAAACTCGGTAATTTATGAAGAAAGGAGGTTTAATTGACTCACAGTTCCATAGGCTATACAGTAAGCATCACTGGGAGGCCTGAGGAAACTGAACAATCATGGCAGAAGGCAAATGGGAAGCAAGCACCCTCTTCATGCACGTGATGGCAGGAGAGAGAGAGAAAGCAAGGGGGTGAAGAGGGCTTCACTCACACACTTTTTTTTTTTTTTTTTTTTTTTGAGACCAAGTCTTGCTCTGTTGTCCAGGCCGGAGTGCATGGTGCGATCTTGGCTCACTGCAAGCTCCGCCTCCCGGGTTCACATCATTCTCCTGCCTCAGCCTCCCCAGTAGCTGGGACCACAGGCGCCCACCACCATGCCTGGCTAATTTTTTGTATTTTTAGTGGAGACGGGGTTTCACCGTGTTAGCCAAGATGGTCTCGATCTCCTGACCTCATGATCCGCCCGTCTCAGCTTCCCAAAGTGCTGGGATTACAGGCGTGAGCCACTGCACCCAGCCGTGCCTCACACTTTTAAAAACCATCAGATCTTGTGAGAACTCACTATCACAAGAACCGAATGGGGGAAATCTGCCCCATGAGCCAATCCCTTCCCACCAAGTTCCTCCCCGAACACTGGGTATTACAACTCAACATGAGATTTGGGTGGAGACACAGAGCCAAACCATATCACTATTGGACTGTTTCTTGCCAATTTCTCTAATAAATACAAAGTCATCTTCCATGATCAGAATTACTCTTCCCCTATGTGATCTTACAATATTCTGGATTTTTTTGTTTTTTTGTTTTTTGTTTTTTGAGACGGAGTCTCGCTCTGTCACCCAGGCTAGAGTGTAGTCGCAAGATCTCTGCTCACTGCAAGCTCCGCCTCCCGGGTTCTTGCCATTCTCCTGCCTCAGCCTCCCCAGCAGCTGGGACTACAGGCGCACGCCGCCACACCCGGCTAATTTTTGTGTTTTTAGTAGAGATGGGGTTTCACGATGTTAGCCAGGATGGTCTCAATCTCCTGACCTTGTGATCCGCCTGCCTCAGCCTCCCAAAGTGCTGGGATTACAGACGTGAGCCACCATGCCCAGCCTACAATACTCTGTTTATACCCCTGTTATACAGTCATCACTGATTCATGTATGTTATTCATGTTTTCTAGAAATGCATAGCACCAAAAAGACTCAATATTTATAGACCTGGATTTGCATGAGCATTTTTTTCAGGTCGTCCTATTCCTATATGAATGTTTCAACAAAATGGCTTGGCATCCTTTTCCTAAGACATCCAAATTAGAAGCAATCTTTTTTTTTTTTTTTTTTTTTTTTTTTTTTTGAGATGGAGTCTCTCTCTATCGCCCAGGCTGGAGTGCAGTGGTGTGATCTTGGCTCTCTGCAACCTCCGCCTCCCGTCTCAGCCCCCCGAGTAGCTGGGACTACAGGCACACGCCACCATGCCTGGCTAATTTTTTGTATGTTAGTGGAGACAGGGTTTCACCGTGTTGTCCAGGCTGCTCTCTTGATCTCCTGACCTCATGATCCACCCGCCTCAGCCTCCCGAAGTGCTAGGATTACAGGCGTGAGCCACTGCGCCCAGCCTAGAAGCAAATCTTTAAAGGAAAAAAGATGCAAAGAAATCACAGATTGAAATAAATACAAAATTTACTGGCATCTCTCTTGGAGACTTTCAGTGTAGCTGTGGTGTGTTTCATTCATTGCCATCCTGATTTCATCTAATTCGGAAATGAGCAAATTATGGCCTATGGGCCTAATCCAGCCTCTTATCTGTTTTTATATAGCCAATGAGTAATTTTACATTTTTAAATGGTTGTGGGGGAACAGAAGAAGAAGAATATCTGAGCACATGAAAATTACATGAAATTTAAAGGTCAGTATCCATGAATAAATAAATTTTTGGAACATAGCCACTCCTGTTCATTTACTTATTGCCTATATCTGTTGTGCTACAGAGGCAGGGCTGAGTAGCTATGGTAGAGTCCATATGGCCTGAAAGCCTAAAATATTTACTGTCTGGTCCTTTACAGAAAACATTTGCTGATGGGGTGGGGGAGATAAGAGATTAATAGGTACAAGCATACAGTTAGATAGGAGGAGTAAGATCTAATGTTCAATCACAGAGTAGGGTGACTATATAGTTAATAACAATGTATTTTATATTTTAGAACAGCTAGAAGAGAGGACTTAAAATGTTCCCAACACATAGAAGTAATAAATACACAAAGTAATGAATATCCTAAATACTCTGATTTGATCATTACACATCCTATGCATGTAATAAAATATTTCATATGCCCCCATGTATAAATAATATGTATCAATAGAAAAATTTTTAATTATTTTTAAAAATCATTTTCTGACCCTTGAACTGATTCCTAGATTTTCAACTGCTCTATGAATGCTCCACCCAACCCCCTTTGTCAGATAATAAAACTGTAAACAAAGAAAAACTGAAAACAAAGAAACATGATTTGATCCTTATTTTTAAAGTTTGATTCCTGTTATGAAAAAGAAGTATACATATATGCTTACTATTCAACAGGAAGATATTGAAAGAGGAAAACACAATCCTGTCTCACCAACTCAACCTCTGATTGTAGTTTGCTGTATTTCCCTCTTGTGGGCTTTTTTTTTTTCTGTTTAATGTTTTTCAGTACAAAAGTAGTACCTCATCTTTTTTTTTTTTTTTTTTAAAGACAGATTGTCGCTCTGTCACCCAGCTGGAGTGCAGTGGCACGATCTTGGCTCACTGCAACCTCCACATCCCCGGTTCAAGCAATTCTCCTGCCTCAGTCTCCCCAGTAGCTGGGACTACAGGCGCCCACTACCACGCCCAGCTAATTTTTTGTATTTTTCAGTAGAGACGGGGTTTTACCGTATTGGCCAAGCTGGTCTCGAACTCCTGACCTCGTGATCCACCCACCTCGGCCTCCCAAAGGTCTGTGATTATAGGCGTGAGCCACCATGCCCGGTCAAAAATACTGAAAGAGGAAAACACAACCCTGTCTCAGCAACTCAACCTCTGATTGTAGTTTACTGTATTTCCTTCTAGTGGGTCTTTTTTTTTTTTTTTCTGTTTAATGTTTTTCAATACGAAAGTAGTGCCTCATCGTTTTTTAAAACACAGATATGAGATTTTTAAAAGTCATCCCTATTCCCAGCCCTTAAGGGAAAACTACTTGGCATTATTGAACTTTCCCTTTCGTGTTTTTCTATAAGAACAATTGTATTTTCAAAATATGAATCATCATCATATATACTTGGTTTTATGAGGGCTTCTTAATTCCTAAAACTTAATCATGTACATTTTCCATGTTTCTTTGTCTTAATATTTTATGATCATGAGTGTATATTCAAATTTTTACCATTATTTTCACTTAACATTACACAACTACGTGCTTAGGGAAAATATTCATTCTGACCAACTTTTCTGTTTTTCAAAAATGTTCTAAATATCACCAGATGCTTAAAAATTGCTATCCAAAAAAATTCCAACACGAAGAAAAAGTGTTACTTCCTTGCCTCCACCTTATAATTCTAAAGATTTTTCAAAAGAATTAACTATACTTAAGTAATTTCTCTTAGAAATATATGGATTTTTTTTTGTTTTTTTTTTTTTTTTGAGACGAAGTCTTGCTCTGTCGCCCAGGCTGGAGTGCAGTGGCCGGATCTCAGCTCACTGCAAGCTCCGCCTCCCGGGTTTACGCCATTCTCCTGCCTCAGCCTCCCGAGTAGCTGGGACTACAGGCGCCCGCCACCTCGCCCGGCTAGTTTTTTGTATTTTTTAGTAGAGACGGGGTTTCACCGTGTTCGCCAGGATGGTCTCGATCTCCTGACCTCGTGATCCGCCCGTCTCGGCCTCCCAAAGTGCTGGGATTACAGGCTTGAGCCACCGCGCCCGGCCTATATGGGGTTTTTTAATGTCCAGTTTTTTACTCAGGTTCACCTTTATATACCTATCTGACTTCCTTAGGTTGTTACATTCTGATTTTTGCTGCTGTTTAACTTAGTGTACAATATTTAAAATACCTCTGAACTTACTAATTTGAGTGCCTAGATCAGAAGGCATCCCATAGCAAGAGAGTGTGTAACAGACAGGGCAGGAGAAGGCCGAACTCACTTTCATGAGAAACCCACTCTCTCAATAACAAACCCATTCCCATTATAATGGCATTAATTCATTCATGAGGGCAGAGCCTTCATGACCTAATCCCCTGGTAAAGGTCCTACCTCTCAACACTGTTACGTTGGGGATTAAGTTTCCAATACACAAACTTTAGGGAACACATTCAAACTGTAGCATTCAAGGCATTTATGAAAAAGGGAAATAACCAGACAAGGGCCATATCTACCCAAGAACTACCCCCTAATGCCTACCCTCTAAACCCCCTCCACCCCCACAAACTCTCAGGAACTGGAAACTGACTAATTACTGGGCTATTTCCTTTTTTGATATCAAGAAGGAGGCCTCAAAAGCATGAACTCCCTAAAGCAATTCGTAACAGTGCCATTGTAGTGACCCTGCCAAATCAGCCCCAATCCTGGAAATTATTCCTTCCCTGATATAATTATTAGGGGCAAGGTACACAGAATTAATCCAGTGAAGAACATTTGATATCTTATCTGTTCTATAAATCAGACCACCCACAAGTGGGCCATGTTTAGTCCAGAAAAAAGTGGCTTACTCTTGCACAAAAAGTATGGAAGGGAATGGGAAGCTCTACCATATTTTTCTTCCTGGCTACTGTACCTAAAACAAACAGTCTCCTCTTTTAAAAGCTTGGATATTAGGGCTGGGCGCAGTGGCTCAAGCCTGTAATCCCAGCACTTTGGGAGGCCGAGACGGGCGGATCAC